AAGAAAAAAAAAAAAAAAAAAAAAAAAAAGAAAGAAAGAAACGCCGACAACTTTTTCCAGCCAAGATTTTTCAACGAGGGAGGCGACGCGCGCTCGATCGATACGAGACAAAGGAGAACGGTGCCGAGTTACCGATGTGCTACGGGCGAAGTGGGTTTCCACGTTCGACGAAGTTCCCCTCAGCGTGTTTCCCAGTCGGGGCTTTATTGTTTTTAATTAGTCCTCGACGATTCTGTCAAACCCGGACTCGATGGTTTACGGTTGTTTCGACTGCTTTTCGAGATTGACGCTCGAGCAAAAAAAAAAAAAAGAAAGAAAGAAAAAAGAAAAGAGAGGGGAACAGAGACTCCATTTGTTGAGCATTGATAAATATCCAGCTCGGGAGCGTCTGTCACAATGTTTACGTAAGATCTCGACTCGTCCAGTGTCGTCGATGGTAAAAGGAGCTGGCAATAAAAGTGGCAGTAGTAGAAGGAAAAATAATTACGACGAGTCTAGTTGGAATACGTCTAACGCTTGATAACGAGCGCAAAAAAATACGATCCGCTCATTTGCAGTAATAATAATGTTAATACGTATTAATATCCGGACAGTGAATATTGAAACTGTATATAATATTATGTAAATAAATGAACTAATATAAAATTCAATATTAAATATATAGATTCATTTAATATTATAGAGAAAGATAAAATAAAGATATTAATATTGTAAAATAAATATTTTAAAACAAAGATATTAATTTGAACAGTATAAATTTATGACATATTTTGAAATAAAGATATTAATTTTAACAATATAAATTTATGACATATGTTGAAATAAAGATATTAATTTTAACAATATAAATTTATGACATATTTTAAAATAAAGGTAATAATTTTAAGAATATAAATTTATTAAATTTGAAATATAACTCGTTCTATGGTAAGCTCTGAGATTTAAAATTTCGAAACTTTTGCTTTCAAAATGCGTCTAAAATGTTTAGAGTAAACTCTCCCTTTTATAAATCAGATATTTTCTTGTTCAGTTGTAGTAATATTATATATATGGAACTGTTTCGAATCAATGTGATCAAACTGTACAAAAGTCACTGTGAAGTGACTGTCTTGGCAATAGCAACGCAAAGTAAAGTATTATTAGAGAAATTCTAAATATAGTCCCCCAGTTTTATTTCGAAATTATTGGCGATTTTGAAAGAACAACACACATTTTCAATATGTTTATTTTGTACGATGGATTTAATAAAAGCAAATTTTGATATTCAAAAGAAAGATACGAATCTTTACTTTCGAAAACGTGGGTCACTCTTGAATAAGTTGCGAAAATTTCGATTTCAAAATATTAACATTGATCGATCTTTCGCGGTGATCGAACTATTTTGGACTTATGCCATATTGAATATAAAGCGAGGAGGTATCGACAACCTTTCGTCACCGTGACTCGAAAGGTCTTTCCATTTTCGACTTAGCCAAGATAAATCGTTGTTGGTTTTAGCATGGTGGCTCGTCTCCGGTTATCGATGAGCGAGTCGCTCGGTTGATTATCCACAGCGTTAAAACTAGTGCAAAGTGATCGAAAATTTATCATTTTTAATTGTAATTTCTATAATTTCTATAATTTTTTAATTTTAATTTCTATAATTTTCTAATTATAATTTCTATAATTTACTAATTATAATTTCTATAATTTTCTAATTATAATTTCTATAATTTTCTAATTATAATTTCTATAATCTACTAATTATAATTTCTATAATTTTCTAATTTTCTAATTATAATTTCTGTGATAATTATACTTTCTATAATTTTCTAATCTTCTAATTATAATTTCTATGATTTTCTAACTATACTTTCTATAATTTTCTAATTTTCTAATTACAATTTTTATAATTTCCATAATTTTCTAATTTTCTAATTATAATTTCTATAATATTCTAATTTCTGTAAATGCAAAGCATCCATAGAAATTCAGATGATTTCTCGCGAAATAAAATAAATAAAATACCCCTGTATTCCTCTTGTACTATGAAGTTCTTTTTTTTCTTTTCTACTTTGGAAATTTTATGACAGTTTATAGTCGTCGGTAGTTAATTGACGGAAAGCGTAAGTTTATTTGAAAAACAATTCACAATACGAAAAGTCAGCGGCGCGTACGTATCTAGTTCGATAAGTAGTACTAGCCAACGCGTGGTCAGACAGGTAAGTGGTATACGTACCGAGCAAACTAGCTAAGTAGAATGGGATCGTGTTTGCACAACCGGCGCTTACGTAGAGAAGTGGAACGAGTATGTGATTGTTCAGACAGATAGAACACGATTGTTTCTCCAACGATAAGTGTAATAACGATGCTAAATATAACTTAATTACCAACTGAACGAGCAGAAGTAACATCCCACTCACGCGTAAAATTACAGAGGATTTAACGAAGCTCAAAAAAGTATTGTCAAACTAAGAATTAAAAATTAAGAACGAAGAACAGGCGCTGTAACGCTGCACAATTTACTTCTGCGAAATTTTTGAACGATGCCACGAGCGTCTCGTGACTGATTGATTGAGCGACAATTCGTCATCATATTACGATTATACAATTCAGTGAAATCACGAAATTTTGATAGAAAGACGATGACGATGAAAAATCGTGGAAATTTTCATTTAATTAATGAAACACAATAAATTGATCGAAAAAATAAAATTGCAAGGGAACGTTGACCCCTTAATAGGAACGAAGAACGTAAAAATTATAAACGTGTATGTATATCCCCGCGAATCGGTGGGAATCTTCTCGTTAACCGCCGCTGGAAAAATGGCTGGACGTTGATAGCCGCCATTGTTGCCGCGTCGTGGATCATTTACATGTGAATGGGAGCCAAGGCTGACGAGTAAGGCTGCTGCGAGCAAGGCTGATGCATATGCAATAAACGTCGTGTCTTATACGACGGTTATTCGTCGCCGGTTGTATTTGACGGTTTATTGTCCAAAGACAATAACAATTCGCGCCTCGCCGGGTCTCGGACCTCGCAATGGGCTCGTCTGGCCTGCTACGCGAATTCTATTACCGATCGTTGGTAATCTCACCGGATCCAATACCGCGGATATTCAATTCTGAATCTTTTGATATTTTTGAACCGTCCATGCAGATTTACATTCTCGTGGGTGTGGCTGAATAAATAAAAGTCTCGACAAAACGTCTGCTTAGTTGCACTAAGTTTTTAAGCATTGAATTTTGTAGAAAACGCTGAACATCACTAGGTATTTTGTATTATTTTTGCACGTTGTGTTTTTGCATCTTGAAATTTCTTATAATTGTATTATATCATATGTCATAATAATAATTATAGTAGTATAGTATGATAATATATACTATACTACTATAATTATTATTTATACTTATACTATACTACTATAATTATTATAGTAGTATAGTATTTATTGTATTGTATAGTATTGTATTATAGTATTATTTCTCTATAAATTATTATATATATATATATATATATATATATATATATATATATATTATAATTTATAGAGAAATAAGATATTTTTGAGTATTTTATTA